TCTACCATCTATCCATCCATCCAATCTATTCTATCATCCATCCATCCTATCATCTATCTAATCTACCATCCATCCATCCAATCTATTCTCTCTAATCTATCATCCATCATCCTTCCTATCATTTATCTAATCTACCATCTATCTATCCATCCAATCTATTCTCTCGCTAATCTATCATCCATCCATCCATCCAAACTATCTACCATCTATCCATCCAATCTGTTCTCTAATCTATCATCCATCCATCCAATTTATCTATATCTCTAATTACCATCTATCCATCCATCCATCCAATCTGTTCTATCATTCTTCCATTCATCCATATTTATCTACCATCCCTATCTATCTATCTATCTATCTATCTATCTATCTATCTATCTATCTATCTAATCTCTATCATCTATCTATCTATCTATCTATCTATCTATCTATCTATCTATCTATCGTCCTCAACTTATAAGTGTTTAGTGACTGCTTGAAGTTACGGCACTAAAAAAAGTGACTTACCACCATTTTTCACACTTACGACCATTGCAACATCCCCGTGGCCACTTGATCAAACTTAAGATGCTTAGCAACTGGCTCGTATTTATGACGGTTGCAGGTGTTCCCAGGGTCACCCGATCCCCTTTGGGGACCTTCTGACAAGCTGTCAATGGGGAAGCCAGATTCATTTAACAACCATGTTACTAACCACTGTAGTGATTCACTTAACAACGGTGGCAAGAAATATTGTAAAATGGGGTAAAACCCACTTAAGGAATGTCTCACTTAACAACATAAATTTTGGGTTATGTTATATTAGTATAATATGGCATAGAATATTAATATAATATATAATAAATCTAATAATAGTAATAATATGATTAGATATTGAGTCAATTTCATTATCAAAGATCCCGTCTGGAATATTTGTTTTATATACAGTAGTAGTGATATGGTATTCTTGTTAAACAAGGATGGGGAAACTTATAACTATTTGTAGACCTGTTATATAAGGGAAGGAGAATTTATCACGGTTTTTCTGTATTTTTTTATCAGCATCCAGCTGGGATGGACTCTTTTATTTTTAATGTTAGACTTAATTAATATTTGGGACTTTCTCCCCTTTTTTGTACACATTTTTTCTTTTCTTTTGTTGTTATTCATGTTTTTCTGTTGTGCATTTTATTTTACTTGATAAAAAACAAAACAATACACCTAAGATATCTCTAAAAACTGAAGGATGGAATTTTTGAGTTGGATTTGAGAAGATCCACCCGTTTGGGGGGGGAATCTTCCCCGCGACTCCTTTCCCAAACTTCGGCACGCTGGAACCCCGTTCCTTGGGTTCATCTCCAGCCTGGGTGATTCCCCTTTCGGGGAAATGTGTAACCTCCTCCTGACTCAGTTTCCTTGGTGGGTGTCCCGTGACGCCAGGCACAGTGCCACTTGGCGTGGGCTGAGGCTGCCACGTTGCCTCATGTTAATCCATCGGACTTCCGGGGCTGCGGCCGACATGAAACGCTGTCAGGGAAATGCTCCACGTGTCGGGATTCGTCTGCCAGGGTGTGTCTCATTATCACGCTGTGAAAAATTGTCCTCTGGAGACGAAGCAACGAGTGAGTGGCCGGGATGTTATGTTGTTTTGATTCTCTTTCCGGCCGAGGGAACATCCCTGCCGAGTGTCTCATCCTGCGACTCACCTGGCAAAACGGCTCCCAGGTGACCCACAGGTGCTTTTTCCAAAAGGCAACTGGGCTTTCTTGTGTTTTTTCTTTTCTTTAAAAACGTTTTGCTCCCTGGCCAAGAAGGTTCTTTGGTTTTGATCAGAATCGAAGAAGCTTCGTGGACGAGGAGCGAAACGTTTTCAAAGAAAAAGAGAGAGAAAGCCCAATTGCCTTTGGGAAAAAGTTCTGATGAGAACTGAAGAAGCTTCTTGGACCAGGAGAGAAACGTTTTCAAAGAAAAAAAAAGAGAAAGCTCAATTGCCTTTTGGAAAAAGTTCTGACTAGAATTGAAGAAGCTTCTTGGACAAGAAGTGAAGCGTTTTCAAAGAAAAAACTGAGAATGTCCAGTTGCCTTTTGGAAAAAGTTCTGATCAGAACTGAAGAAGCTTCTTTGATGAGGAGCGAAACGTTTTCAAAGAAAAACAACCGAGAATGTCTAGTTGCTTTTTGGAAAAAGTTCTGATCAGAACTGAAGAAGCTTCTTGGATGGGAAATGAAACGTTTTTGGTTTTCATTGCTTCCTTCATAATTTCTACCCCGGCATGAGATAGTAGCACAGCGCCAAAAATGATGGACTAAGTCTAGGGAGATCTGGATTCAAATCTATCCTCAGCCACTGGATGATTTTCTGAAGTCCCTCTCTCTGCCTAGCCAGCCCCACAGCTCCTGTGAGAAAAGTGAGACACACATCACAACACGCCAAATAAATAGGCCTGGATTCTGCTATTTATTTTATACAAACATCGCACAAAACATTAGAACATGGGTTTTTCTTAGTCAAGGGGTCCAGCTATGCATGAAATGGGCTTCTTATCCAGATGTCAAACAGCTCTCAACCGTATATCTACCACCTCTGATGTTTTAGGGGGTTGCTAACATACACAACTTAGTATTTAAGGCCGGTGTGTCCAATTTTGTCAACTTTAAGGCTGGCAGACTTCAACTCCCACAATTCTTCAGCCAGCCAAGCTGCCTGGGGAATTCTGGGAGTTGAAGGCCATCCTGCACAGCTGCCTGGGGAATTCTGGGAGTTGAAGTCTACCCTGCACAGCTGGCTAAGGGAATTCTGGGAGTTGAAGTCCACCAGCCTTAAAAGCTGACAACGTTGGACACCCCTGATTTGAGGCAAGCTCTCTCCAATTTTTCCCACCTGTCTGCGGAGGAAAAGCAATTTTTTGATCTTTCAAATGATGAAACAGGGAAGGAGCGTCAAATTATTATTATTATTATTTGGCCAGATGAGAGACTCAATATCGTCACAGGGAATTTTGGGAGAGCTTTCTCTTTTTCCCTCTTAATTGTTCCACTTCCATCCTAGTTGCCCCAAAACAGGCCAGGATTTCTACTCAATTTGAATCCCCGGGTAGTCAAAGGATTTTCATGCGAAGCACGTTAACCGGGGGGTGTCGGGCCCCAGCAGGGAGTGCCAGGGGCCGATATTTGTGCTGGTGATGAGAATGTCTAATCAGGTCTCCCCCAACGAATTCTAAACACACACACACACACACACACACACACACACACACACACACACACACACACCCATTGAAGAGGGGCAGGAGGAAGGAAGCCAAGACCCGAATGCAGCTCCGAGGATGAACCCAAGAGATCCTGTGGGAAGGGATCTTCTCAACCTTGTTGCCGAACGGATCTAGCTCAGTTTAAAAAAGGGGAATTTCTTGGGGTTCAGCTGCTGGAGGCCTCCCGGCAACTGGGAACCGGCGCAAGGGTTTCACAAATGCTCAGGTGTCCCTGCCCACCTCTGAAAGGGCAGAAGGATTTTTTTTCCCGGGATCCGCGCCGCAGGTAAGGCCTTTTCTTCGGTGGGAGGCGGGCGACTGCCCCATGCTTCTGTCCGTGGATGGGGGAAAGAGGGTGAGACTTGCCACGAGGAGGTGGTAGGTAATTCTTTCTCCCTGGGTCTCTCTTCTCTTACGCAAGGTCCCTCCTGCTAACCGAATGGGTCGTGTTTCCGCTGTGCCTAACTTTGCACCGTCCCGATGCTGTCGGCAGGTCTTCAGGAGGAGCAGGCGGCTTCCCACTGGCGGAAAATCTGGAAGACCTTGCGGGATTTGGTCGAGAGGCTCTGTGGCCGGGAAGAGAGGGACAAATGAGAAAGTAGAGCGACACGGATGCCAAAGA